GATGGATGGATGGATGGATGGATGGATGGATGGATGGATGGATGGAAACAATTCCTTTAAAGGGGGAGGTAATAATGAAGATGATCCTCCATCAACATGAGTCCTGTTGCAACATGTTAGCATTATGGCAGCCACATTCATAGTCTCACTGCCCTGACAGGCACACTGCAGGGCAGACACCTGTGGGATAGGACAGGTCCAAAGTTATGAATTTATTTTGCTGCAAGTAAAAAAGATGACTAGAACGAAGATGCAATTCTGTCAGACTTCACAGGCCTTGCTAATTATGCAGCGGTCAGATAAACTAAGCATCAGTGAATACATTGAGGTCTGCTGAACCAGAGATTCAAAGAAGCTTGCTGGTGAGAAAGCAAATCAGTAATGGTAAAATGTATCTATTTCCAGAATGTGGAAGGCTGCAGGCAGGAAGCTGCTCTTTTCATTCATTATAGGCTTTTCATCTGCAAGAAAGGGCCCTTTATGTCTGAGACATTAGTATGCTTAAGAGGGTATTCTCAGAGTAGCTGCTTGTGTTTTATGACCAAACCACGCTTACCCTACCTCTCCCTCACCCCTCCACCTCTACCCCAACAGAGAGGGAACTCTGCTTGCATTATCTGGAATATGAACAACTTCTGGACAAAGCTAATGCTGGCTTAGACCTCATTTGTGGAAGATTAGGGGAACCATCTACTTTCACCACATGTCATACCAAGAGTCCTTTTTAGGTATTTTCCCACTACATGATTATCTACTGTGGGGATGGGGTGGGGATGGGGTAAATTTAGAAGATGGACAGCCTTTTCTACTCAAGGAATTTCCAGTGCAATCCAGAATTGTGTTAGTTTGAGGTTAGTTTTCAGATGGCGTGTGAAAGGCCACATATTTTCTAATGTGGAAGAAATTCACAGTCGGCAAGCAGACTGTTTACTACATTCTTTATTCCTGGAACAAGTGAGGTACGTTTTGGCCATTCTTGCTGAATGTAATGTTTTTCTTGTTTCTATTGTCCTACTCACACACACACACCCATCATTTTGTGTATTCAAGCTGCAGATCTGTAATGACCTTCAGATCTCCACCAATATTCAATTTATATGTTTCATATTGGATCTTTTCCAAAAGTAGTTTCATGTTCTCATACAACTGTTTCAGGTTAGCACCATTGGCTAATGGTGCAGACAGTAATTTATTTCCATTATGAAGAAGGACAGCTAACTTTTGTGGAGTTAGTGAAGAAGTGCCACTCGTTTAAATTGCATTAATGGCCAAGAATTTCCATAACTGAACAAACATCTTTACAAAACATTAATCCATCTTCTTGTTGGAAACAAACAAACTTTCATATAGCAGAGAAGATTCCAGCCATTTACTCTTGAACCTAAGTCTGCTTCTTAGAGAGGTTCAAATTGCACAAGTTTCCACACATTCATTTAAATCCCCTTGTGTCAACAAATGTGGCTCATTTGAAGAACAAATAAGTTGAAATGTTGGGTTAAAATTAATGTTTCCCATATCTCCCCTGTATATGCATCATCATCATCATCACCAGTAAATTCATTGTCTCTAAACTTCTGGAAGATTTGGTACAGGCAACTCCTCACTATGTAGGATTGATCTCATTGCCGATGGTAAATCAGAATATTTCATAATGTGTTTACTTTTAGAGTGATCCCTGTTGTGCTTGTTAAGCAGAAATTACAATCTAATGAATGGTCTTTTGGCTCCCTCCAAACCATAGGAATGGCAAATACCATACAGCATGATCCCTTTAGCCATCCTGTTAGAAGTCTAATACATGTCACACAGCAAATGTGTGGGCCCAGTTCTTATCTTAGTCAGACACTTTGCAACCAATATAAAGTTCATAGCATTTTTGACAAGTGGGGTGTAGTTTCATTTCTGAGTTTTAAATGTTAGCTCACCACATGCATAGCTGAAAGTATCAGGATGATTTACACCATTTTGTGGCAGGATACCATTATGTAGATAACCATAACACTATAACAGTCAATCTAATATTTAACTTGAATATAGGGAATATGGACTTAAACTGTTTATACTGTGAGCTCTGACAGGAACTGCTATTTAGAGAGAGATTGGGCTCATGTCTAGACATGTCCAAACATGATTCAACCTGCACTGTGAGTTGTTCTGTGCTAGCTGTCATGCCTACTACCTTTGTCTTGAGGTTATTTATACTAAAGAAAAATAATAACAGCTAGATTTTGCTCAATGATTGTTACAAATATGCTACTGTAGTTAAAATATAGTACTAAAATGTCCCTAGTTAAACAGAGTAAAATGAAGATGGAGTCCCAAGAAAACTAAGCCTGATAGAAAAAAATTGATTCTGTTTTTGAATTCTGCAAGGAAAGGTCTGCTTAGAACAGCCCTTGCAATCCATGTGAAAAAACTGTTGTTGACCAGTATTACTAGGGTAGACTTCTAAGCCCAGGTAGAGGTTTAAAGGGAAGCAATATCAGTTTTTGTACTCAGAAACTGTTCCAATTTTCAGAACTGGTGAGACATGTTCTAATAATCAGAACATGCTATATTCATTTACAGTAATTGAATTCAGTTTTTGTTTTAATTAACTCATGTTTTTACCCATCTTTAATAGCATCCCTATGGGTAACTCATTATAAAAGATGATCATAGATGTTTCTAGAGCAAAGCTGGCTTATTCAGGAGAGGCCATAACTGGTTTCTGACTACAGTTAAGCTGACAAAAGATACTCTTCACTATAGAAGCTATATAGGCCATCAATTAATTACAATAATAGATCCAGAGAGTACCCCAGGTTATGAATTTTAGAGGAAACACAGCCCTTTTCAGAAGATATAAAATATTATTTCTCCATGCAGGCAACCCACCTGACTACCAACCGTCTCTCTTGTCAGGTGGGTTGCCTGCATGGAGGCAAATTTTTGTTGTTTTAATTCACCCACACTGAACCCATTATTTATCCCAGATGGTGGAATGATCTGATTCAGTATAAGACAGATTCATATGGAGGAGACAGCATTAGATACTCGGTATGTGTCAGCTTGTGGGAATGGATGAGGCTTCCTGGGAATCTGGACCTTGGAGCGGGAGGCATATGGGAAATGATACAGTACACCCCCCACCAGCGCCTCAAGGAAGGGGGCATCTGAAAGTTAAGTGAGATTGATATACAACTCTCAGTATTGGCTCTTTATTGCACTAACTGTTATAAACATTGCTTACATTTAATACCCAGGAGGGGCTGTCCAATTTTCTCAGCAGGAGAAATCAGAATCTTCTTGGAAGAGCCATATGTTTCCCAGTGAGAGTTGCTTGGTGAGATGAATGGCCATATAAATCTAAAAATAAATAAACAAACACATAGCTGAATCTCTGCCACAACTTCAATTGTCATAGTGCAAAGATGATCATGCTTCTGTTCATAATCTTTAGAAAGTCTATGGCATCTTATTCCTCCCCCCAGGTCTCCGAGGAACCCACATGGAGCATGTCTATGACTTCTATAAGCCAGACTTGGCTTCAGAGTATCCTATGGTAGATGGACAGCTTTCCATTCAGTGCTATTTCCGGGCTCTTGATCGGTGCTATGCCACATATCGAAGGAAAATTGAAAGCCAGTGGCAGAAAGGTCTGTGTGTCTGGAAACCCAAGCTTTCCCCTGTCTTTTCTCATCCTCTTTAACCTTGATCTCTGTTTTCATGCAAGTATGGATTGGTATAGAGCTCCACCCATGGGAAGTTGTACTTAAGACGTGGAAAGGGAATATTAAATAAGAGAGGGAATAAAGGAGAAACAGTCCTCGGTTTGTGCAACCCTATTGAAAAGGACCATGGTCTTAAAACTAACTAATTTCTGTTTTAGATTTATTTTTGGGGCAATGGAAAGGGAGTAGAAAGAATCCTGAACACATAGCTCTGCTCAACAATGGAATCCTGAAGTAAGGAAGATACTTCTCCTCATTCCAGGGCCTTTCCTCATGACTAAGTTACAGGGAATCCACTTATCCTTGACTTGGTAGAAAGCAATACTTACATGAAAATTCACTATCCCCACTGCCAATCCCTATCTGGCCTCTGTTGTGTCTGTTCCTAGCTGACTTCCCTATATGCTAATACAAGTGATACAGCCTAACAGATTTTACATACCGTGATGGTGTGTAAAATGGTGGTGTAGGAATAAGGGAGGAAACATTACTTTAATACTGGTACAAATGACAAATTAAACCTGTCTTATGAAGTGAGGACTATCACAGAATTACAGAATTATAGAACTGGAAGAGATCTCAAGTACAACTGTCTTTGTCAGAATAGAGTTTCTGAATTGCTATGTGACTCAGCTGTTTTTGCTCCCATAGGCTGACCTTTCCAGAACGAAGACTCTTTGGCCTAACTTATACTTTACTTATGCTTGCTTTCAAAAGCATTTTTTTCTTTCATTTCTTACATCTCCTCTTATCACTCCCCTTTTCCTTTCTCTTCCCCAATCTCTAAATACCTTGTATGTTTATAAGTTTCAACTTTCAAAAATAAAACCCAAAATACTGATGAAGTGGACTGGATTTATATAATAATGAATATGTTATTGTCCTTAGTTTAGAAAACTTTAATATTCTAGGAGGAGTGAGAAGGAGGCAGTTTGGAGAAGCAAGGCTGGAGGCCCCACCACCCCTCCTCAACTAGTAGCTCCAGAGGAAGGACAAAGGATTTATTTATAGTAAATAAATTAATTTTCCTGTATTCCACATAATTGCAGGAAAGGTTGGTAGTTATGGAGCAGGGGAAGAGGTTTTACCAAGCTGCAGAAGTAAGGGCTTCTGAGAGAGAGGAGCACAGTCTACAGAAGACATTTGAAGGCCTGCTGGAGGATCCTCCTCCTTCTGGAGGCTGTGTTTAACTGCTTGTCAGAGATTCTCTACACAATATCTGTTTTATAAAATACCCTTCTCTTTGGGTGTGGTTTCTAAGTCATTTCTATTATTCTTAACCTTTAAATTCTTTTACCTGAGCAGCTGGGATAAACAAACTCTGTACCCTTGAAGATTTCCAGTTCATGATCTTCCACACACCCTTCTGTAAGCTGGTGCAGAAGTCCTTGGCACGGATCCTGTTGAACGACTTCCTTGCATCCCCCAAACCAGACACAGACAGTGGAATCTACAAAGGGCTCAAGGATTTCAGGTCAGTGAAGGCTGCCAGGATCCCTTCTCCACTTCTGTAAACAAAAGAAAAGGCAAGCAAAGAATTCACAATGGGAGGTACCTTTTCTTTGTGCCAGGCCATGCTTTAGAAGGAAGACACTGATGGATTTTGCATTAGATCCACATAGAGCTTGAATACTTTTTTTAATTTTGGAATCATATATGTTTTTTATTTTAAATCCAGCAGCAAGCAGAAGAGTTCAAGTGTACTTTATTACAGTAGTGCTTTTCAGGTATTATATTTTAACCTGGGCTACTTCAAGGGCAGTAATATTTTCCTATCATAGTGATGGTGTTCATTAATTTTCTTTAAGTCACATCTCCCTGTTTCCTGGCATTGTTTTGATATGTCTCCTCCTTTCCACTATTTCAATTCAGATTGGATGTTTCTCTGGGCAAAGGGTTGGCTCCTCTGTCAAGTGCCATGTTCACTGATGTGACAAATGCAATTCAATGAAATAATCCCCAACCCCCACCATAGTTGGCAGTTGTGCATTCTTTGGGAATACTTACGTGTTGAGATATAATTTTTTCTTCCCAAAGGTTATATAGATACAGAAAATCCAAGCGTTTATAAAAATAAAATATGCAAAGTGCTAGGTCAACATACTTAAACAATAAAATGAATAATTAAATCTGGCAATTCATTGAAGAACTAGAAAATTAATGCAGCAGAGATTCCTTAGCTTTTCAGCGAGGAGATACCAAAGTAAAAAACCTGCTTCTAGCTGCATCATCTTGAACTGGTACCACAATGCTTCAGGGAGTATTTCTAGTTTAAATTTAGTTTTAGTTTTTTGTTTTTTACCTTTATTATGCCCTTTGGGCCAAAAAGCACAACAATAAAATACATAGTCCTATAATTATTTATATTTTTTAAAAAATAAAAATGCAATAAAATTAAATAAAATACATTATTTTATATTTTTTAAAAAATAAAAATGCAATAAAATTAAATAAAATACATTATTTTATATTTTTTAAAAAATAAAAATGCAATAAAATTAAATAAAATACATTATTTTATATTTTTTAAAAAATAAAAATGCAATAAAATTAAATAAAATACATTATTATAGTAACTGTAAGTACAAATATCAGTGGCAATCACCAAAATTTGTGCTAAACTTCAACCATTGGTAGGACAGATACAACAAATGATAGCACAAAATCGGGCAACCTGGAAAAATATATGAGGGTCCTGGTCAGATAGAAGCAGTGACAGATAGACATTGTGCTCTCTACCAGGGTAGTTCTTTAAAATGGGATAAATATGTATCTTCCTTGATTCCCTATTAGAGAGAGCAACAAAGGAGCTTAGGGATTCCACTGAGCCATCTCCAGGTGGACACAAGCACTGCTGAAAAGGGATCTTTCTATACTGCCACCTACAGAACTGCAGAGGGTAGTGCATCCAACCTGGCCAAAGTGAAAGCCAGATGAAATTTCAGAATTAGAATTGAAGAGAGATAAGATGATGGCACGTGCCCATTGGAGAAGACTCCATAAACTGTAGGGCTGGACACTAGGCTTAAACTGGTTTGAAAGTCAATATCCCAGATACATTGTTTAAGATGGCTCCTGGCATTTTCAAGCCCTAAGGACTGGAATTTGTTATTAGCTTTTGTTAGCCTGGTTGATTTAAAATGGACTCTAAGAACCAATGGAGCCAGACCTACAGGAAAAAAAGGTCAATTTCAACCAGAAATTGATAGAACCAGGCTCTGGTGCCCACAGAAACCAAACCTGTCTCTAATCGTAAAACAGCACTCTTGATGCATCTCGGAACTGCGAAATTGCTCTTATAAATTTGGACTGGACAGCTTCCAGGATAGTAAACTTTGTAAAAATGCAGATTGGAACACCGTAAAGAAGCTAAGAGATGACCTTAGCAAGTAAAAACTTGCAAGCAGCAGGAATAAAAGGTGCTCCCTTTGAATAGAAGAATCTTAAAACAGCTGTGGACTACATCAAGCCACACTTGCCCAGTAAGAGAAATGTGCGCTCCAAGATAAGGAAGCCTGGAATTGCACCCCAAAATATCTATAAGTAGTACCTGCTCTACTGGGGTCCCATTAATTTGCCATTTATATAACCCACTGTTGTGTCATTTAAACACTAGCATTTTAGTTTTTGATAATTTACTACAAGTTGTTCTTTTAAGCAAAAGGAAGCCAGTGCCCTCAATGCCCGTCTCATTCCCACCTGGGAGACAGACAAAATTACTGCACTGTCTACATGTAGCAAGGCTGGAATTGTACAATCTGCTAACATTGGAGAGTGATGGTTAGAAGATGAGAGAGCCTGAATTATTGAATTGATGTGCAAATTAAAAAATAAGGGGCCTAGAATACACCCTTGCCTTACCCCACTTTTGATGGAAACAGCTCCAAAAAGGTACCCCCAAGGGTAACATCTGACTTTCAGTGAGGTGTTAGAATAAAGGATCTGGATAAGAAGGAGCAATCTTTTATCCACTGAGGATTCCTGAAGTTTTTGCTATAGCCTCTCCCTTGGAATCAGATCAAAAGCTTCAAAAAGGGTGCCTTTGGGTAAGTGAAGTGTATTTTTCAGCTAAATGCTGCAAGACCAGACAGTGGTCTAAGTCTGAACGGTCCCCTCTAAATCCCACCTGTTCCTCCACAAGGATATTTTCACTTTGGACCCAATCCGACAGTTTTAAATAAAGATACTTTGCATGTAATTTGCTTATTGTATTAAGCAAGCTAATTGGTCTATAGTTGGCAGGGTTAAGTTTATTACCTATATTCTTATAGAGAGGGATAACTATGGCCTCATTTCACTCAGATGGAAAATGTGCTGTGCTATTAATATAAGTAAAAAGAGCAGCCTGCACCAACCTTTATTTTCTTTTAGCAACTCTGGAGGGATGAAATCATCTCCAGGAACTTTCCCAGATTTCAATTGTACAATGAAATCCTTAGCCTCAGCTATAGACACAGAAGGCCATTTGGGAGAAGTTACTATTTGGTGGGGAATCACTGCTGGATTATTTAATAGTTCTGGATTGAAAGTAACTCTCCCAAATATCTGCAGGTATTTGGCAGATGGGACCTAAGCGACTGTGCATGGGAGAGCAGTTAAGTAGGTGCCAGAACCAAGCAGGGTTCTTAAGCTTAGCTGCTGCAATTAATCTCCCCTCAGTGCTTGTTCCTTCTTAGATTTTATAAGTGTTTTATAAAACTGTTTATACTTTCTGAGTGATTGAAAGGAACCTAGTAAGTTGTCAGATCGAAAGGTATATACTGCAGTAAGAAGGGCCTTTTTTGGCCCTATAACAATCTGTGTCAAACCAAGGTTTGGATCTCACATGAAGGGGGCTAGAACTAACTGATGAAAGTCTAGATAGTGGGGCCTGGAGAGTATGGATAATTGACTGGTAATGTGATAATATCTGTTCAGAGGAGTCTGCTAAACAAATTTGGGAGTAGAGTTGAAGAAGGAGTTCTGAATTTAACAGAGCAGACGAGTTTTTTACCACTCTGGAAGACCATTTATTCTGAATGAGTCTTTTTGTTGTGGCCCCGGATGGACAGTGAACTACAGCTAGGAACTTATTTAGGATTCAGATGGCAGATTAATGGGAAATGGTCACTATCTGGGTGATTCCCTACATAGAAATAGGTTATTAGATGAGCATAAGTATGTGGAACTATAAAATAATCAACCACACTTGTTCCTTTGGAGGCCCAGAAGGTTCATTCCCCATTTAAGTCTCCTCTACCAGAGCCATTTAGTATGACCAAGTCCAGTCTATCTATAAGCTGGACTGGTGGGAAGCCTGCCCTATTACAGTGTTTATCTTTAGATTGTCGAGCCTGTAAAGGGCAGGCTACTTCATTTGAGGGGGGAGACCAATTAAAATTGTAAAAATGCATCTGATTCTCCAGTATGAGTGTTGGAATTACCAGCAATAATTACTAATGCATCTGGGTACTGGCAAAGTAGACAATGTAGTTGTAATTGCCATTTCTACAGAAAGAATTCCTCTTTGAATAATTTTAACAGATGTCCTATACATTGAGGAAAATTCCATCAAATATTATTTTCTCCTTCATATGATCAAGTTAACTCTAATAAAATTCTTATGTTTGTAACCAGTTTTACAAATTAGAAACTATAGCCAAATAATATAAAAGGAATAAATATTAATAGATTAAAAACAATATTTTTGAAAGATTTATTTGGGTGGGAGGTTATTGTCTGAAGCATTGAGATATTATCTAATGTTGATGACAGTAATCCAAAAATGTGTAGGCTATGTCAGTCTACAAGTCCTCAGTATCCTCTTGTGACACATTGAATATATGTGGGACGCAGATCTGCTGCCCTATTGGCACTTCATCATCTACAGATTTAAAAATGTTGGAGAGATGTGACAAAAATTATTAAGAAAATCATAGACTAGGGGATCCAATTAAATCCCAAGGCTACATTTGTAGAAATAATAATGAAATAAGTTAGTAACAAAAATAATACTGCTGTAAAAATTTTAACTACTGCATGTATATTATTAGAAAAATCATTAAAATCTGACTGGTTTTTGTCCATTACAAGAGAAGAAAAATATGGAAAACAAAGCTAATGGATAAAAGCACAGCTTGTAACTAACTATGATAAGGAATGAATCACTTTGTTTCAGTGTTTCAGGAAAATTGATCTTTGAAATGAAATGATATGATATGATCAGGCAATTTGGCATTAATACATTCTTTAATGGGGCAAAATAGTAATTAAAAAATTGTGGGGCATAATTCTTTATTGGGGTAATTTTTTCCCCTTGTTAAAGCAAAGGTTATCTATATCTGATATAATGAAAGGTTTGGTTCATTGTTGTAACTTACATTAAAAAATAATTTTTAAAAACACCATACAGCTACGTATATGGTCCAACTCACTCAAAAGAATCTTACTATCACTTTGAGGCAAAATTAGATGTCCTTGCTCTCTTTCAGCAATGTGAAGTTGGAGGAAGCCTATTCCAGTAAGGAGGTGGACAAAGCTTTCCAAAAGGCCAGCCAGGAACTGTTCAAGCAGAAAACGCAGCCCTCTCTCTTCCTTTCTGCCCACAATGGCAACATGTACACCCCATCCGTGTATGGCTGCCTGGCATCTCTCTTGGCCCAGTAAGTTGCATGGGTGATCTCACACCACAGGAGGCAGGCAGAGAACAGGATTCCCATCCATTCTCCAACGTGCCATATCAAGAGAAGAGTAGTTTGGTTATATTAAAGTTTTATAAATGCTGGGTAACAAATTATTAAATGGCTTTCTTGCTTATTAAAACCTCTCTTAACTAGGACGCAGAAATGAATTCTTCTAAATAAGTGTTAGGGCTGAAGCATCCAAATATACTGATGGTCCCTAATATTGTGACAGTAGGAAACTGTTTTTATCCAAACAATGCATTTTATATTTTACATACTTTATATCCAACATTTATTTTATCCTATTTTTTCAAAAAAATCACAGCAATGCCAAATGTTTAGATTCAGCAGTTCACAGCTGTCTGTCTAGAACTGAGTAGTTTAAAATTTTGCTTGAAGCAGAGTTAGTTATTATCCTTCTGACACCGAAATTCTATGCATATTTATGCTTTATTTTGTTCTTGCTAGAGAAGTACAATACATTTAGATGTAATCAGAAGGTGAATAATTGTACCTAATTTAATTTTATACAATATTTTTTCCTCTCCCTATTCCTCCCCACCCCACCCCACCCATGGACTCAAGATTTCCAGACATTTTTAAATCCCCATCCATGCCAGAATGAATTAGCACAATACATAATTGTCATCTTCATAAAGGAATGATTTTATAGGGGCACAATATGCAGATAGAGAAGCTGCTGGACAAAGAAATATGGTCTTTCCCCCGGAACTTCCCTGATAATTAGTTACTCTAAATTTTTGCAGGTATTCTGCCAAGCAGCTGGCTGGATCCAGAATTGGGGTTTTCTCCTATGGCTCAGGGTTGGCGGCCAGCATGTTCTCCCTGAAAGCGTCCCAGAACTCTGCTCTAGGTAAGTTTTCATCTTTTTCCTTTCTTCCCCTACATTTGGCCTGCTCGAACTGGCTTCTGAACAAGCCACCAAAGGACTGGGTTTCAGGGATAACATTTTATGTACATATTGCCTTTTTAAATTTTGTTTTGTTTTCATGACAAAAGAATAAATACTGTATCAGGGTCATCTCTGGATGTTGGGTTACTGAATGAAGTCAGAGAACTGACCCAAGGAGGGAAATGTATAGGTCTTATATCCCAACAGTGGTATCCATTGGTGGATTACAAAATGCATGCACCAACTTTTTTCCTGATGCTCTTCTTTTCAAAACCTCATTTTTCCTGAGAACTTCTGGGCAATCCCTGAGTACAATGTGTACAAATGTGTACAAATTGAGTACAAATTGCAGGCCACTGCCAAAGGGATGGTAGAGGTCATCTAGTCCAACCCCCTCCCTACTCAGGGCAGAAGATACATATTATTTAAATAAACTGGGGAATTTGTAGTCTGCCTTGTGAAAGCAGCTAAGAGATTATAAAATTGAGTAGACTGGTTCTCTAATAAAATGTGATTGTGAAATTGATTAGGGAATGTGCAAAATGCTAAAGAGAATGATGGGAGGGAAAGGGTGAATTCTGTTTCATGATAAAAATGATTGTTTTCTTTTTTAAAAAAAACCTGCATCAAATGAGCAGGGAGAGAGGAACAATGGTTTGAACTTATAAGACTCACAGACAGAAAACAAGACTAAAACTAACCCAGCAACAATTGAAATCTACAGTGCAATGCAATAGGTACCCACAACAATGTCTTTTTTAGCCCCTCTTACTTTTCTCTCAGTCATGATTGTGTGCCTCATCCTCATATTCTAAACAGAACACATATTGCACGATGGTGTTTGTCATGTGACTAGAAATCCTGAACTACCACCATACATAGTGCCTTATACATTAAAGGACCTCAAGCATAGATCTGCCCTAAGGCCAGAGAATTTTGGGTCTGTCTTAAGGCAAGTAGGAGACAACCTAGGAAATCCAACACAGTGGTACTCTGAATACTTTCTTTATTTGTAGCACAGTCTAGAACTGAACTGAATGTCTGCACTGGGAATGGATGAGGATTTGGAGGCAGATGGTGAGCCATGCCATAGAGGAGAAAGAGCCAGGCATATGTGTGCTAGAGAAACGGGTGTACATCCTGCACTCAGCAGAATAAGAACTGAGACTTGCTTGACATGGCAGCCAAAGGGGAGGGGGAGAGAACAATTGTCCTTCAAGTGGAGGACAGTTGAGCTACAGTCAGTCCCACTAGGTACACCAGGCCAAGAAATCAACTCTGCAGGATAACTAAAACTACTTTTATTGAGATTGGCTACAGTAACAGAATCTTGCAAGTCTGATTGTGCTGTACTTCCTCCCCCTTTTTATACTTCAGTGAATTAGGGAGGTGTCTGTCTGAGCCACTTATGAATGCTATCTGTTTGTCGCAGACTTAAAATATTTTTTACCCCTCTGCACCCTAGTAATCCATCTTGCATATCTCCATCAAGGTCATCTTTCGTACTTGCTGCAGCTACAATTCCCAACAGTCCCCATATGCACCCCTTAACTAGAGAGTGAATTCAGCAGTAGGACCATGCAAATGATTTCCTGGAGATGGAATTTTAGGGATGAATATGCATCAGCAATCCCTAGAGCCACCTCCTCACAGTTTAGTAAAAGTAAGGAAGATTTGTCTGCCACAACTTAGACACTTCTCTCCCACACTTGGCCTCAAGGAAAGCATGTTAGAGCCAGCCTAAAAATAGATGAGAACAAAAATGTGGGGGGCTCAAGCAGGCAAAAGGTTTCCTCTAAGTAATGGATCCAGAGTTCTGTCCAATTTGCAAGTATCAAGGCAGCCACCATTTTCATTGTACTTGTATCTGTTTCTCAGTCCCAGGAATGGTTCCTTAGGTATATTTTAGTTCTTAAATCAAATGTGTTACCTCACATTAACACTTAAGTCAAGCTTGTTAACTCACACTGTGCCCAGAACAGTTAGAGCAGCATTTCTCAACCTTAGCAACTTTAAAATGGGTGGACTTCAGCTCCGGCTGGGGAATTCTGGTAGCTGAAATCCAACCATCTTAAAGTTGCTGAGGTTGAAAAACACTGTGTTAAAGGGTGGGGAAATTAGTACTGTCTTACTGAAGCATGAAGTGGTTGTGTCTCAAGACAGCACCAGTTTTCTCACTGAAAAGTATCTGACTTTTTGTTCCAGGCTCACCTCTGGAGAAACTGGTATCCAGTCTTTCAGATCTAAAGACTCGCTTAGACTCCCGGAAATGTGTTTCCCCTGAAAAGTTTACTGAGATCATGAAACTCAGGGAGGATACTCATAATTCGGGTGAGCACAAGAAGATATAGTCTTAGATTTGCCTTGTGTACACCAGTGCTATCCGTCCACTTTCTCTCAAAATGTCCATGAAAAAAGATGGCCATCTAATGGCTTTTTCTGGTAAGCCTATTTCCTAGACTAGGAATCTAGTTTTTTGCTTGTGGATGTCTCTTGCAAAGCCACTTACATTCTGTACTTCTAATGAAAATATTTTTCATAGCAAATACACACAATATCACATTCTACCTCTCTACTTCATGATTGGTGAACACAGTGAAAAAACTGTTTGAAGGCACACACTTGAGCTGGAATGATTCCTTTGCTCTACAGCAGTGATACAAAAAGTACCATCTGGTGGACTCTTCCAACCTGTCACCTTCACTTGAATGGCCTCCATCCCGCCCCCCCCCCCCCCCCCCGCAAATGGTTGGCTTCCAAAATTTGGGGACCATTTTTCAAATTGGGGAGGGTGAAGGGACAAAATGGTGCCTTAATCCTTGAAGATGCTTAAGGAACTATTTCAGTCATTAAAATTCTTGAATCCCATCCAAAAAATGGTTCTTGACCTCCCTACTTTCAGAAGGTATGTCTGAAAATGTTAAACTGTTGGCCTTTCAAGGTAAACCAGGCCAGGAAAGAGTCACAAGAACTACTGGAACTCAACAGAATCTTGAAAGCCTGAGGGAGATTTTTTCTGCCCCTCATATACTAAAGAAAATCAAGGTGGGGCAATCTTGAGGGTTTTTCCTCACTCTCTCCTGTCTGTCCAGGTTAAGCTGATGCTGACATAATAGTCACTGAATTCCTTTTTCAAGGACATCTCTATACTTCTCTATGCAGAGCTTGACTTTGCATGGTGATTTCGGGGTTGCCCTGACCATGTTGATTTCCCATGCCATGACATCCTTTTCTGTGAGGCGCAAGTATTTCTACTCTAAGGAGGTCTTGCTTCTTAGCCACTGATCTGTTACTATTGCTAAGTAGGCCCAGAATAAAAAGATTACACATCCCTGAGCACCAGAACTGAAAACATGGGAATCTCTTCTGGAATGTTTGAATGGGAATCATAATTTTGATTATGCTCTCCTACCTCTTCAATGCATTGTAAATGCACATAGTAGAAGGAAGAACCAGTGAGAATTGTTTTGAGAAAAATTGTAGGTATCAATGCTAACCCTTCACATTGATTGTCCTTACTCATGCACCTCTTGCTCCATCTTTCCATAGTTGGTCACACGCCCCATGGATCCAAGGATGACCTGTTCCCAGGAACTTGGTATTTGGAGCAAGTGGATGAAAAAAACCGCAGGAAATATGCACGAAAGGCAGTTTAGGAGTATAGAGTTGTCATTAATAAGGTTTTTCCTGGTAAGTCAAAACCCTGGGTCTAAGAATACTTCATAGAAAGGAGATACGCAGATGGAAGGATCAGTTGTCATTTAGGGCAAAAAGAACAACAGATATGGAAAATGAAAATACTTATGGAAATGAGAATTCTTTTAAGCATTTGTTTTAAGTTTGGTAACTGCCTGTCTACCCATTTAGCTGTGCAGAATCATTTAAAGTAAAGCACATGTTACAAATATTAGAGTTTTGTAACTGGAGGAGGAATAGGAGGTTGACACTGTTGTTTCAAGCTGTGTGTGTTGTTCAGTTGGGCAGCAATGCAGGCTGATAAACAAAGATTAGTTATTCACAGGCATGTGCAATAAAGAATTGTATCAAATCAGAAAATAAAATGCCCACATGCCCTGTATTTAAATCCCTTTCTCACTGCCTGATATCAAAGCAAAAGGTAAATAAAAATCTTGAAATGGTTAAATTATCTTTGAAAGCACTTCTACCAGTAACTTGGTTGTACACAAAAACTGCCATTATAGGGGAAGAGGGAATTAAATATTAAGTGAGAAAAACAACACATTGCAACTGCTACTCCATGAGCAGCAGAATGACTCCCTAATATAGACTTGATCTGCAGTCTTCTCTGCTTCTCATTCTGTCCTCCATCTTATTCATACCGGTAGAAAATTTATTGTACACATGTTGATTTAAAGAAAATGTATAATAAAGTAAATAGGCTTGAAATGGAGAATGTTTTGTGTGAATATGGAGTCGAAGGTTGGTTGCTGAATGCAAAGGAGAATATGACAGAAACAAAGCATACATAATAAATATGATGTAATAAAGAATAAATGAAATGCTTAGCAAATGGTTCAACATGGAATAAGATAAAGATTTATGAAGGAATGTTTGTGGTAACATAAGAGGTGTACTGGTTGGATGAATGTTGGCTAAGACCCCAAATGAACTGCAGCAAGTTAAATAGATTGTATGATGCAACATGAAGTATAGATCTGAAAATTAATGTATCCATAACCAGAGTACTCATGTTTAATAAGGAAAATGGAGTGAATGATTGCAGGTTGTATTTCCCATCAGCATAACTCTACTCACTTTTGTGGCATTTTGTAACATATTTCATTTGTCCCAAGCACCCTCCACACCCTTTCTTTCCATCCTCTTTTCATTCACTCTGTTGGGAAATTAATCTTTCGTTGAATACTTTATCATACATAATGTATACTTTACTTTTGTACAGTCATTCTACTGTCACTCTTCTTTTCTTGCTGTTTGCTTTTTATTACTTTTATAGATTACTCCAATGTAATGATTTTTTTTCTGAAGATCCACTCTCGACACTACCAAATATTGTTTGTCCCATATTTAGAACTTCTCATCACTATTGTATCCTTGGCTAATTTTCTCAAACTTGAATCATAAATAATCAGATTAATTTCTTTGTCAATCAGATGCATGAATAGACTTGTTTCAGTCACATATTCAGAACAAACAGACCTTTTCATAAGCAGATAATCACCATTCACCATTTTCATTCACTCCCAAATCTCTGAATGGCCCAATTGCTTTTTCTGTACTCTCATCTTGCTCACATCCATTCTTCACATTACATAGCAGAATAGGTTCCCCCCCACCCCTTGGATCAGAGTCATTCAGAAAGGTGCAATTTTTCCCAAATTCATTTTTGCTTCTTTCATTTTTACCATTCACTGGAGCAAAACTATCATCAACCTAGATTCCAATTTTCAAATGCACCATCCACAACCTAGATGGCACCAGTTTATATTTTCTGGCACACATTTTAATCAATTCATTAATAATTAGACCTACAGTGCATTTGGAAAGTATTCAGACTCTCTTCACTTTTTTCAATTTTGTTATGTTGCAGCCTGATACTACAATCATTCAAATTCATGTTTTTTCTCATTAATCTACACTCAGTACCCCATAATGACAAAGTAAAAACAGAATTTTAGA